AGTTTGTCTGGAGCAAGCCGTCTTGGCCGTGCGCTAACTGGTTGACCGCGCGTAACGATGTGGTGAGCGACCTCTGTCGTGACTGGTGGAAGCTCTACAGCCGGTCGAACCAGTCGCGGGTGTTCAGAGAGGAGGCTCAAGTAGTCGGACGGTGCGTCTGCGATCCGAAATACAGGGCTGATTACCGGGGCATCTGAAAGGACGCCATCAACCCTTAGTTTCAATTGTTCATTTGTTCTCCGAGCTTGAAGCAACTTCAAGAATTGAAGCAAATCACGAAAGAAGAGCGCGAGAGGATGAGAGCCCGCGACTCGAACATCGCGCAATTCTACGGACTCCCAAAGGTACACAAAGATAATGCACCGTTGCGGCCTATCGTGTCTCTCCCTGGAACACCCACCCTACAACCTGGCGAAAGAAGTGCGGAGACGCCTCAAACAATTGACCTTTGGATCGCAATACTCCATAACCAATGCCGAGCAGTTGCTACAAAAGATCAAAGACCTGCGATTAGATAATGATGAAACAATGATATCATTCGACGTGACTGCACTCTTCACGTCTGTCAACTTGCAGACAGCAATAGCGGTCATCACGGAACGGCTGGAGGTCGGTGAACAACAAATCGGCAAAATGACGACCGAAAATGTATGTAAACTGCTCCACTTGTGTTTGTCGACCCATTTCTCATTCAATGGAAAGATTTATGAGCAATTGAAAGGCGCACCAATGGGATCACCTGTGTCAGGGCTCATGGCAGAGATGGTTATGCAGAAATTGGAGGAGGAGGTACTACCACTCGTCAACCCGAAACTGTGGGTTCGGTATGTGGACGACACTTTTGTGATAATCAGACGCAACCAAATAACAGTCGCACAACAGCTATTGAATAACGCCATGGAAGGCATCCGATTTACAATGGAACTGGAGAAAGAAGGACAGCTCCCTTTCTTGGATGTATTAGTAACAAGAACTATGGAAGGCGAGCTGCAAACATCGGTCTACAGAAAAGACACACACACAGACCAAATTCTGAACTTTAACAGCAACCACCCGAAATGCCACAAAGTAAGCTGTGTGCGGACACTGTTTCGCAGAGTGCAAACACACTGCAGTACAACAGAAGCAAAGCAAAAGGAAGAAAAACACCTACTTAAATGTTTCCAACTCAACGGATACCCACGAAGTTTCATCCGAAGGTGTCTGAATCACAACAACGTCAACATACAGCCTACAACAACAACAACAACAGCGGCGACAACAAGCACAACAACAGCGGCAGCGGCAACAACAACGACAACGGAGAAACGGGTTGTTCTGCCTTATATGAAGAACATATCGGAAATGGCAGCCAGACTATTCAAACAGCATCATCTCATCGTAGCACACAAACCAACTGCCACGTTGAGAAAAACCCTTTCAAAACCAAAAGAAAAAACTGCAAGCACATGAACAACGCAATGTAGTATACAAAATACCTTGCCGAGATTGCGAAAGGGATTATGTTGGCCAGACGGGAAGAAAATTGGTAACAAGGATACAAGAACACAAGAGAGCCTGTGTAAAGCATTATGCATCGTCGCTAGTTTCAATGCATGTAGATGAAGAAGGACATAGCTTCGATTGGAGCAAAGCAGAAGTCCTGGCACGAGGTGAAACAAGAAAAGAAAGAGAATTCTTGGAAGCTTGGTTTTCAACGAAACATTCAATCAACATGCACATGGACATCGATTCAGTATACGAGCCACTACGACAGAAAGACCTAAAGAACCATTTGTCACGCGGTTTGAGACAGAACAACTCGGGCGCCGACTTTAGCCTTGGGGAAGTGGGTGGAGGTCACGGGACCTAAATCGACACTGCCACGTTCAAAGTCACCTGCAGGTCGATCATGGCTGGAGGACTCATTTAGTAAACTTACACGCTGCATATCACTGCACTGAGGATGCCACCTCGCATGGTGGTGAAACGTTTGCGAGAAAACCGCCAAGCTCGGAGAACAAATGAACAATTGCTTCATCAACCCGAGCTACCAGTATTTCGAAACATTTAAACCCTTAGTTTCGTATGATCATCTAAAATTCTGTTGCGACCCGCGTCGACAAGCAATCCGAAATGGCGAAGAAAATCGATGCCGATAATTGCGAAAGGTACTGACGCAACCGTGAAAACCCAGTGAAAGTCTCTGCGGAGATTTAAATCTAGGTTCATCATTCGCTGACCGTATGAAGCTATCGGCGAGCCGTTGGCTGCCCGTAGATTGTACGTGGGCTTTGTATGCTTGTCATGCGCGCTGGCAGGGATAACGCTCACTTCGGCTCCTGTGTCGATAAGGAAAGTGAGGCGAGAGCGCCTATCCTTGACGTAAAACAGACGGCCTGTTTTGTCGCTGCCGGACGCGTGGGCCGCATTCACGTGCCGGCGAACTAGTTTCCCTGTGCCACTACACCACGCTTGGCGCAGGGTGAACGGCAACGTCGAGCGTTATCACCATACTGTCGATGATACCAACACAAATCATCGATTAAATTGGCACTTCGGGTTCGGCTGCGAGGGGGTGATGGACTGCGTCTGCGCGGTGACCTGGATCTGTACGGTGGGGGTCGGGGCTGATAGGCACCATGACGAACGGCGGCAATTTCGTGGTCAGTGTGAGGTCTTAGTAAGCCTTGTCTTTCTAACTGCACGGTTGCTAATTCACGACGAAGTGCGGCTATCTCTTCGTCCCTGGGGTCTGCTTGCGCGGGCGCTTTTGCATTCAAGTCTTTATCCGCTAATGTGACGAAAATGCTGCTGGATGCCTTCATGTTTTGAGGGATTCTCTCAAAGGCTGCGTCCGCGGTTATGGCCAACTCTTTGAGTGATCTATTTGGATTTGCTACGAGCATTAAAGGAAGAGGATCAGGTAAACGTGAGAGCCACAATTCTTTTAATGCCTCTTCACTCATGTACGAAGGGCCAGCAATCTGTTGAATATCACGGAGTAAAACTGAAGGCTTGCGATCGCCTAGCTTAGTGCTATGAAAGAGTTGCTCCAATCGAGCACGAGCGCTGGGTTGCGACTCCTTTAGAATCAACTGCTTCATTGCTTCGTATTTACCGTCTTTAGGTGGGTGAAGCAGTACGTCTTCGACCAATGTCACCACCTGTTGCGGAAGGCGTGGGACGAGTTGGTTGTATTTAGCTTGGTCGGAAGAGATCCCTCTGTTTTCTAACTCTATCTCAAAAATGGCGAACCAGACGTTGGGCTTGTGTGCCATAAAATCCGGAACAGCCAATGTGAGCAAATTCATGCTGCCGCCCGATCCGGGTTTTACATCAGCGTCAGACATAGTATATAAATAACACGAATGGTTTTAAAAACGAAATGGACGGAAAACAATCCACCAGGGATTATGAAAAAAAACAACCCGGAACGAACTCACCGAAAAACGAGACGACCAAAAAAGTTGAAGATTCGCGCGTGCGAATCGGGGTCACCAATTTATAGGACTAGTCTCTACTAGTCCGAGAGTGTTCTCGCGCTGGTAGGGATGCCAGAAAACCAGAAAGACGGGCACAACGGATTGTATTCGCGGTAGGCTACAATCGAACGAAAACGAATGAAGCGACGAGAGCGTACGTCAGTGCCGGAACTCACCGTGGAGAAAAGTGGTGAGCCGGATGCAGTTCATAATGGCCGTAGAGTCGGCATTAAAACAAAAAACAATATTTTATGACTGGGTAATAAAAGTGTACAAAAAACAAGAAATATCTTTTGGGTTGCTATATGATCAAGCGGTTTTCATCAATGTGAATCGATGTACAGTTTGTGTTTAGGCGTCCTAATCCAACCACACAAAGAATATTTCGGTGTGACCCATCGATCAGTGCTCATGTGTATTTACCTTCTAGGTACCCGAAATTATATATGGACTTATGTTAATATTCCGAATTTTACAGCGCGAATCAGGAGGCGTTACTTCTTACTTTTGACTGAAAGTTCCGAAAGATACCTGCTAACGTTGTAGACTACTTAAGTTCCAGCTTTCGATTGATGAGCATTTAACCGTTTCAAACTCGCTAATTGTGTATGGAACATCACAATCGAGAAGCATATCAGTTACGAAGGAGAATATTACGAACAATAGATTTTTCGGGCGCACAGTCTCTTTATTTTCATGCTCTCTTCAACTTGAACATCGTTGTTTGTTTGAGTATCACTGGTTAACAGTCATGTCGAGAAACCGGAGAACAATGCCGATTACTTTTTGGTGCAGGAACGCCAATATTTTACTCCTATATGTTTAATTACTTATGCAATTGCACGTAATGATTGTAACGCGCTTTTATTTACTATCATGAAACGATTTCACTTTACATGAACATCAGTGCAGTTTGTCCTCGATAAGGGTTTCTCTGGTTTTGTGGTCCCATTAAGTATCACCTAAACCGTCTGCGTTCCCACACAGTGCCTTCAAAAAAGAACCGTAGTAACTAACAAAACGAGTGATTGTGTCGTATTTGTGCAAAAGAGAATTCAGGTTTTAGTATCGACCCATGAACCTCCAAGTACTAGACAGTGGGAATCGACATTCCAGTGAAAGTAACCTTAATTCTCTGACCGCAGAACACCGTATCGTCTAGACCTGAAGTCTCATCGGCCGAACATCACATTCCTCACACCACACGCTAGGCAAAATATAGCACAAACAGGAATACGCTACACAAGTTGACTAGATAAATGTCACTTGCATGTTCATGAGATAGGGTCATTCATGAGTAAGCGACATGAATAGAAACATTCATTGTGGGTAATTTCATTTAAAAGGGTCTGCATAAGTTGCCATAGATAAAAACCCGTACCCATCAACTTGTCAAAATTCATATCGAGAGATTGGATCAAGGAGTTCCTCATATAAATCGTTGATAATAAAAGCTACCTGGTGTACAATATCTAGCCAATCAGTTAATGGCATGTATTTCGTTACGTTTCAGCAATTGGGAAGACCAGTCTTACGATGAAGGCCTCACTCCTTCTTCTTGTTCAACTAGCCGCAATTCACCCTGGGGGGCACGTAATGCCGTTAGGTGCACAAAAAGAAATGGGCAGATACAAGGACAGCACAGATGAAAATTGTTGGAATGACACGCACACAAGTGGGCAAATCCGGGACGCATCAACCGAGCAGAGGGAGATGGAAAGGGAAGTAAGCACGGAAGATTTTGAAGAATTCACGGATGAAATGACGGAAACTAGCGCTGGCAGTGTAAAAGTATACCCAAAATACAATAACAAATTCGCGCATGGTAGGATGGGAAGAGGGACCATTGACGACTGGGCAGAATTCACGGACGCATCAACGGCATCATGGTTGACAGGGAAAGAGTTGACTACAGAGAGCTACGACGATTTCACAGCTAAAGTGATGTTGATGGGATTACGACGGAATACCCCGAACATACCGATGAATTCACCGGTGATGGATTTGGAGGTGAGACCACGGATGAATGGGGTGGGTACACAGACGGATCAACCGAATACTGGTGGCCGAGACGTAAAGTGACAACGGAGCGTTTTGGGGAGTTAACAGCCAATGTGGCCGGGGTGGCTAATGTGAATATGAAGGGATACGAAGAACAAAGTGACGGATTTTTAGATAATGGAACCGGAGGAGTAACCACGGAGGACTGGGGCGAATACACGGACCCATCAACGGCATCATGGTTGACAGGGAAAGAGTTAACTACTGAGGACTACGACGATTTCACCGCTAGAGTGACGGACGAACTTGGATGGAAAACGACGGAATATCCAGAAGATACCAATGAGTTCTCCGGTGGTGGATTTGGTGGTGAGACCACGGATGAATGGGATGGGTACGCAGACGGATCAACCGAATACTGGTGGCCGAGACTTAAAGTGACAACGGAGCGTTTTAGCGAGTTAACAGACAATGTGGCTGACGTGAGTAATGTGAATACGAAGAGATTCCCAGAACAAACGGAGGGATTTTCAGACGATGGAATCGGAGGAGGAATAACGGAAGACTGGGGAGCGTTTACGTACGCATCAACCGAATACCGGTTGCCAAGAGAAGAGCTAACTACAGTGAGCCACCATGATTTCACAGCCAGAGTGACGGACGAACTTGATGGGAAAACGGCGAAATACCCAGAACACACCGATGAATACTCCGATGGTGGATTTGGTGGTAAGGCCACGGATGAATCGGTTGAGTACACAGATGGATCAACCGAATCCTGATGGCCGAGACATAAAGTGACAACGGAGCGCTTTAGTGAGCTAACAGAAAGTGTGGCTGAAGTGGGTAATGTGAATACGATGGAATATGTGGAACACACAAGTGAATTCTCCATTGGTGGATTTAGAGGTAAGGCCACTGATGACTCGGAGGAATTCACAGGTGAATCAACCGAATACTGGCGACCAAAAGAGAAGGTGATCACGAAGCGGTTTAGCCAGTTAACAACCAATGTGGCCGAGGTGGCTAATGTGAATACGAAGGGATACGAAGAACAAAGTGACGGATTTTTAGATAATGGAACCGGAGGAGTGACCACGGAGGACTGGGGCGAATACACGGACCCATCAACGGCATCATGGTTGACAGGGAAAGAGTTAACTACTGAGGGCTACGATGATTTCACAGCTAAAGTAACGGTCGATGTTGATAGGATTACGACGGAATACCCCGAACATACCGATGAATTCACCGGTGATGGATTTGGAGGTGAGACCACGGATGAATCGTTTGAGTACACAGACGGATCAACCGAATGCTGGTGGCCGAGACTTAAAGTGACAACGGAGCGTTTTAGCGAGTTAACAGACAATGTGGCTGACGTGAGTAATGTGAATACGAAGAGATACCCAGAACAAACGGAGGGATTTTCAGACGATGGAATCGGAGGAGGAATAACGGAAGACTGGGGAGCGTTTACGTACGCATCAACCGAATACCGGTTGCCAAGAGAAGAGCTAACTACAGTGGGCCACGACGATTTCACAGCTAAAGTAACGGTCGATGTTGATAGGATTACGACGGAATACCCAGAACATACCGCTGAATTCTCCGGTGATGGATTTGGAGGTGAGACCACTGATGACTCTGGGGTATTCTCAGACGAATCAACCGAATCTTGGCTTCCGAGAATTGAGCTGACCACCGACAGTTTCAAAGAGCTCACAGGCAATGTGACCAACGTGGGTAATGTGAATTCGACGGAGCACCCAGAAAACACAAAGGAATTTTCAGACGGTGGATTCGGGAGAGGAAGCAAGGACGACTGGGGAGAAACCACGGAGGCATCAACGGAATACTAGTTGCCAAGCATGGAGATAACTACCAACGGCTACGAGGATTTCACAGCCAAATTGACGGACGAACTTGCTGGGATTAGGATGAAGTACCCGGCACATACCGGTGGATTCTTCGATGGTTGGAGGAGGGATGAGAACACGAATGATTCTGGCCAATACTCGCAAGTTTCAAACGTCGAATGGCATTAGAAGAACAGTTTCGCCACTAACGTTTTATTCATTGTTTGTGTCACTCGATCACCCTGGCAAAAGAAAGCCAGACCCCATACTTTATGCAACTAATAACAGGAGTTCTGTAAGTTGCCACCTGGTTCGTCTATTTTTCTACGGCTTCCACTATCTCCCCATGATGGACACCGGTGCATTCATCTGAGTCATCTCCATCAAATCTTATTCAGTTTGTCTGGCTTTTCTGACTGTGACTGATCTGTATTTCTTTTATTCATATGGTTAATTGCGTTGCATAACTTCTGTTGGCCAATGAGCAATTGTTCCTCTGTTTATCCCATCCATAATGACGCCCTAACACAATGATACCACGCGCTTCGTCCGGAAGTCGAATTCGCGTTAGAAAGCAACGCAAGAGGATATTTGTATTAGTTTATTACTATGGTTCTTAACCGTCATGACCATATCTGTTTAGGGGTAGACGCTTCCTGAGTCTCATTTGAATTGGGCAACAGATTGTAAAATTTGCATTGCATAATTGCAATGGCTTCGGTCCATTACCAGGTTCGTAATTCGCCACATTGAATGTATCACATCAAACGAAAAATTTCTCCGTGCCATCGTCACGACTTTTGAAAAGAAAAATCGAGTGTTTCTTATGACGGCATGAAGATCCATTGGTTTGACGGATATCACACATTCAAGTTATTGGTTATCATGCATACTCCAATATTATTGGATTAGATTCCATAATAAAACTATGGTGCTACAGAATTAAAACGGTCAGCTTTGCGGATTCGAGTCATAAACTGATGAAGACGGTCTATGAAGTCAGTGGGTACTAACAACGTAGAACGCACACGCACGTTTCACTGTTCGGAATCAATACGCTGCACCATGATTTGGAACTGTCCCACATATTATCAACTAGATAAGAAAATAAGGTTTAACTAAGCGTCCGCCACGATGGTGAATCGAGTGTACAACCCATAATAAAGCGTGTGATGCAAATCAATTTTGTCATTTTTAACCCAAGCTAAACCGGAGATGTTTTCTGCCAACGTCAATGAATACTAAACATTGAAAATGATTTATCACGGAAAACAATTCGTGTACTTGGCAAGTCCGGTAGGGTGGTCGGAGTGCAAATTAAAATGGTATGGATCAACAAATATGCGTCTACCGATTTAACTGCACGACTGCATAACGATAGTTTGAAGTGGGGATGGGATATGTATAATCCAAGTAGTATGGGGATCTATTGTGGTGCGGGATAAGAAAAAGAAAACAACAACGCTTACTCGTGTGTCGCTTCATTTGACAGATATGGTACTTTGATTCAGTCAAAAAACACCCACGCTACTCACATGGACACCAGCATAGATCCTCACCGCCAAATTGCATAGAGGACCGTTAGGCACGTGGTTTGGTTTGCGTTATTTCGTCTTCCTAGTGGAACGGACTGTAGCAAATGATGCAAATCATAAAGCATGTCATCAATGAATACTTTGAAAAACCTTAATGTAGGGACAAGGGTAACGAGTTGGAAGAGCATTCCAGGCACAGGACACAAGAAAAAAACGCTTCGTGGACAATCATGTAGGGTGTACTGAGTAGCCAGTTGAGCTGATGGTCACTCGCGTTGGTATTTTGGCTCCACTGCAACAGACTGCGACGTGGGTGAATTGGGTCCGTCAGTATTAACTGTACCATGATGAGGGCTCTTCGTTGACGTTGATGTTCAACTGTACATTCTCAGGGAATACAGGCTGCGTTGGTAGGAGAGATGCAACAATCCTCTAACGAGTTTGCTCGTTCTACATTGTGGAGCTTCATGTGCACTGATGTTGTAGTGCAACAGAAAACATGTTCTTTCAGTATCTTGTAACATTGGATTTTATGGTTGTTTTAACCTTCAAAACGTCCATTTTGTTTAACTGACTGCACATCCGTTGTCACAAAACCGTTTGGTGAGTTCCTCGCTGCACGTTTCTCGCTCTGTCTGATTCGCTTCCTATTCTTGTAGCCTGCACAATACACGTTGGGTTCAGTCACCTCTGACTTCTATACTGTCGTATTTGACACTTCTTACGAGTCATTGCTTACCGACTAGTATCCCAGGTTCCGCCCAACAGTTGGTGACCCCCTGTCAGGAACACGCCGCCCGCCATTTTGCATTTTCAATCTGGTGAGGTCGTTCCAGTGATTTTGTGATTCATTACTTGTGATCGTATTTCACGTTTATTATTACTGTTTTGAGTTTTTGTACTACGCGTGCATTGTGAAATGCCTAGTGAGGAACCCGCATGCGGTATGCAGTATCTTTCTCGCTCGCGTAATTTGTGCTCGCTTCCGAAGATAGATGATCCCCATCTGGTGCAGTAGAAATGTGGAGATCAGGGTAGCGTTGTACATGAGCGATGAATAAGGGATTATCTGCAAAAGAAATGGAGATACATCCCAAGCTCAAAAAGCACATTGTGACCGTTTCATCATTTATAAAGTTGTCAGCAGCACGAATTCCATACTAATTCTTTAGGCTCGAACCTGCAATTCGTCTATTTTTATTCCGTTGTGAAGGACGTTAGCGACCGTCTTGACAAAGCTAATAGATGGAATAAAGCGCCGCTCGTTATCCAATGACTTGCAAGTTACCGCCGTGCAGAGGATGGGGTAGCTCTTCGAACAAGCGTGAACTTACCAAAATGCAGCTGCATACGGATTACAAAGGAGAGCATGGCGTGGCCGTTTCATCTTTCTGGAATCGCTAATCGTGTGCATCCTACCTGTTACCTCTGTAGCTCGAACCGGTAACTCAATTGCATCAGCCCGTGGTTTAGACGGCAAATGATAGGCTAGACTTTTTATTGTTTGTCAGGAAGTTATCCTACCCTCAGCACGGTAGTAACTCGCAATTTAGTGGATAGCAAGCGGCGCTACATTAAATATAGTCACCTAGTCACGATGGTGGTTACCGTTCCCTGTGGCTCAGTGGACTTAGTCACAGGCTGGCAACTGTCGAGTGGCGGTTTCGAGCTCCACAAGGTTAAGATGGAATGTTCAGTGATGAGCATTCCCAGAAAGATTACACGGCCACACACTGCTTTTCCAGGCGTATAATATCTACCAGGTGTCACAAGTATCCACTTACACCATTTAATTCCGTTTCCTAATCATTTGAGTATCCAAATAAGGATAGGAGCGGCAGTGTTGCCATTTCAACATCTGGCTTGATCTACCAAACAAACTAACAATTGTTGAAGTGTTCTACGAGTTCCCCACAAAATCCGTTGCCGGTGCAAAGTGCAGTCCACTTTTATTCCTCTTTTCCATCCTATACGCACATTGAAATATACAGTAAAACTGATATTACATGATATCCAAATAGAGCAGCACATGTATATTGCATCTTATTTTCCATAAAAGCTATGAAAATTTGCCGAAATGCATCCCTAGTATATGGCATTAAAGCATAGGTGGTACGAAAGTAAACACTTCCAACTATGAAAAAGCCATTGTTCACCCTACCTTCCAGAGTATTCTTGCAAAGTACATATGCAAAATGTGGTGCCCAAGACATGCCTTGATTCCGGACAGAAATTCCAAACTATGCTTTATAGGGATCACGCAGTCTTACAGATATTTTCACGGAATGCATTGTTGCCCCAGTTTTAACCAAATGTCCACAAATGCAACAGAATGCATTTGCTACTTGCAACCAGCCTCTGGATGCCGACTGAAATAATTAAATTGCCTCTTATCACGTTCCGATTCAGAGAACCATTGCACGTTGGCAATATCCCCTTACATTTGTGATGCTAATAGTACTGTAAGAAACTGAAGAGCCCTGGAGCATCAACAATTGACTGATACTTTTTGGATATTTTTAACTATATTCTGATGGTCTTGTACGGATTATAAAGATACATTCTCCCGCAATACAGTACTCGATTTTTTTACTTGACTACGACATACAATTGTAGTTTTATGCTCATTACTAGAATCTTGCTGTAAGATCTATAGTTTTAAGAGATCCAGTCGGCGAATTCTGGATAATTCGTGCAACTACATAAAGTGCGGAACATTTTCTTAAATCTTGAATTGAAATCTGAAGTGAAATACACTAAAATGCAAATTTTGAATTATCCTTGTCTTGACCTCAGAATCACGTCCGATGTGGAACAAACACTAGATTCTAATCCTCTACAGCGCATATAAATATGTAGCCACTCTTTGAACTCAGAAACAAAAAAGTGAAAATTATTCCCTTGTATTATCAACACATATATTTTGCTACTTTATGCGGATAATAAAAAACCGCTCAGCGATATAAATAAAACACTAACTCAGCTCATAAGAATTAAAGGTTTGCTGCGCATGTTTCTACGAGCGTAGATCACTGCCTACTGTTATGTAGCCTTGAATTTGTTGGATCTCTAATTTCCCGGTCACTGAAATATCTCCAAACGCGACTGCCGTCATAAAAGCTTATGAAGCCAAGAAGGATAGTGTATGCTGAGGAGACAACTGGTAAAGCATTTGTTTATTAAAAGATTGAATGGAATATGGTGTGCTCGGTTTGTGTGAAAGTATTAACTTGGGCCGTGAACAATTTTAAAAGGAAACTCCATCTTTCCGATCATCACATCCGAACTGACATAGATACATGTTTTGCTGTTTATACACATTGCTCTTCCTGATCAGTTTGATATTTTAATTGCTTCAGAAAGAGAAGGTCGGAGTATTATTACAGCGTAGCGTGACATGGCTAATGGGTAAGCCTCTAGGACCCAATCATAGGGTTCTGGGAGGGATGTTTGTAGAAGAGGCCAGAA